CCTGAGGTTGAATATTTTCATACAAATAGGGGAGATGGGAAATGGGGTAGAGGGAATGTTTTAAAATCATTGAATTATCTATAAGAATTTGAAATACTAACCAATGCAATTTCTGGATTTAAATGAGATAATCTTAGACTTCCACGATGTCTATAATTTCATATTTCTCATTTTTTTCTGAAGTTTAGTGTTCTTTCTTGAGTTTCCATATTGGGCTTAAGAGTTTTCCCTCTTAAGATCCTCAGATTTGAACATTTTGTTTATGATTACAAGATGGATGACTGAATCAAGAATCCTGCCATAGTCTAGTCGCTGTTCAGCTTCCTTCTGAATTGCATCACTGCTAAATCTGTACCCCTACTTCAAAGAAGTTTGGAGTATGAAATTGCTCTCGGACTCCAGGGGCATGCTCATGCTCTTTCACTCTCTCTCTGTCTTTCTGTGTGTGGGGCAATGTGTGTGTGTGTGTTTGGAAAAGCAAACTTAAAATGATTGCTGTTTTGCACGCTACAGAAATCACTGAAAGTAGGCTGATGATCTTTGTACGGCAAGTGTATAGTAAAACCTAAACAACCACTAGTTGGCTGCCAGCTAATGTTGCCATATTCAACTATAGCTTTGGTTAAAAAAAATCCATGTGTAAGTTAACCTTTTTAATATTAGATGTCATGGCAGCTTTATCAACGTAACTTTAATTTTCTGGGCACATTACATCAGCTTTTTTTAAGTTCAAAATAACCATAAAATTAATTTTTATTTATATCAAAATAAATAGGTACAGAATATGTGATATGATTTAAGAAAATAAGTTTAAATAAAGAACAACAAAATATTGGATTTTTTTTTTTTTTGGTCAGTGGCTGAAAATGGGCCAGAAGCTTCCAATTTGAAAAAAAAATGATTATTTTGAAATATTTATTAATTCCAGAACATCCACATATGATATCTTTTTTGTGCTCTGCTTTAAAATATATAAAGTAAAATAAAGATATTTTATAGTGTAAGGAAGGGAATTAATATAATTTAAGGGAAAGGAAGAAGATAAGTTTTGTTTAAAATGTCGTTTATTGAGTGGATATGCTAACATATATGGAATTCAGGAGTATTTGTGTATATATACATATAAAAAAACAGAGGGCCATTTCCAGCATAATTTAAATCAACTCTAATATTTATGGAACAATATATTTTCTCTATTTAGTTAATAATTTACTTATACCAAAAAGAATTTCAGATAACTTGAATATCAGTTTACTACATTAAACATTAACATATTTTTACATTAATACGTATTTGCAAACATGTAGTAACTTTCATTGTAAATGCATTTGCTCAAGAAATTGGATTGTCCCATTACCATCTTAATCAAATTTTTTTTTAATTTGAAAATGTTTTGATAATTGATTTCAAAGATATAATGACTATAATTTTTTAAGCATACTTGAATTACAAAGCCATATCAAATCACTAAGAGGTCTTCTGAAATAAGCATAGTTCATCACATATAAGAAAATGAATCTTAGAGATTCCTAGATAAATTTACCCTCTAAACCTATAAACCAGCATTTTTCAAAATTTTAATTTGGGAAGTATGAAATTATTTCAGCAAGATATTAACAGATGGAGAAAAAGGTAAGTATTCTGTGGTCAAGTGGTTATTCTTTATTGCAGGCTTTTGAGGGCCTTAAATATGCAGATTCTTACTATGAATCTGAAAAAGAGAGAAAATTGAGCAAAATTCATTCACTTTATCATTTTCATTTATTTTCCTTTTATAGAGTGTACATAGGATATCAGAGCTGAAACAAAGTTTAGAAATTACATGATTCTTTCCTCAACCAGTGAACAGCTATTTTACCGATTTCTCTAAATTCTTTTTCATTCCAAGGAAAAAAAAAAAAAGACTAACTTTGGTTGAAATCAAAATATTATTACTGGATTATTTTCCTCAGAGCAAAGGACTAGCGAAGAAAAATCACCTTGCTGGTGAAGAATCCTCCATGCTGGATCACTTTATCAATAGGAGACTTTTCTCTCTAAGGATATTATTCTACATAGAGTGTTTTCTTTTTGGAAATAGGTTCTACAAATATAGAAAAGGAGCAAAAGACTTCATATAAGCCAAATAATTTTTGGGTAGGGAGGTCTGTTTGTTTACAGTTTGTACCAAGGGTTATTCTCCTAGGAAGTTTCACAGTTATAAGGTGGAAGGATATTTACTCAAGTTTGCTGACTAAAGTGGTCCGTTGAGATTTCATTGGTTAAGACTCTAATAAAGAATTTTCCCATTTGGGAACTGTCTATAGATGGTGATTGGGTCTGGAGATGAGAGTTTTGTTTGAGAGCGTAATTTAATTGATAACATATTTAAATGGTTAGAAAGCTCTGTTTGCATCTTTCTTTGCTTATCCAGCAAATACAGATTCATATTCTCCTTAGATCTGCCAATGGTTGTGTTGCATAAATCTGATTCTACCTAATTTTTAAACAATTTCTAAAGAGAAAGACACTTTTGCAAGCACTGTTAAACCAATATGCCAGAGACCAAATCTGACTCACTGCCTGTTTTGTAAACAAAGTTTTATTGTAATAAAGCCACACTTATTATGTATGCATTGTCTTCAGTTGCTTTCATGCTATGGTTGGCAGAGTTGTGGCAGAGTAACAGTTTCCATATGGCCTACAAAGTCTGCAATATTTGTTATTGGGCCCTTTACGGAAAAAGTTTGTCAACTACTGCCAGTGTTATTCACATTACTACCTAGTAATCAGAAGGAATTTAATGTAGCTTTCCTAGGATGTTTCCATTCAGAAAATAGTCTAAAAATTGGAAAAAATATATGTTTCTATGTATATGTTTATCACTACATATTATTATCTATATAGGTATGTGTGTTTAAACTTGTCAATTAGTGCTATTTATATCAACATGAAACTTTTTGAGAAACTTTGCAAATACCCCTTTTAGATAATATTGTTTTAGGACCCATAATTTTGTAATGTTTGGCTCATTTTTTTATTGGCTGGCCTTTGGGGAAAATATGTTTACCAGAAAATATCTCTTGAAGTACAAACAATTCCAAAGCTGTATTTTAACAGACTAATAGATATTTATACTTGACTATATTTTATATTTGCATCATGGAGGCACTCACCTGGTTTTATATGTCATTCAGATTATATTAACATAGCATTAATATTCCTGACTTTCAAATTTGACTCAGACTCAGTCAAATCATTGTTAACATGTGACTATTGCAAGTAACAAATTATCTCACTTTATTGAATAGTTGATTTAAATTTGCTGGTATATAGAGGTAATATAGTATAAGGATTTTTTTGTATTTATCTAAGATTTTCTTTTTGAAACATTTTCTTCCCTTTTCATATTATTTTAATTAACCAATTTTCCTTTAAAATTTGTTACTAACAAATTTTAACTATCTGATATACAATGAGATTTTTATGGGGCAGAGAGTAATACTAAAAAATTCAAACATTAAAAATTTAAAAATATTGGCTCAGGAGAGGATACCATAACTTCTAGTTATACTGGTACCTTTTTAATCCCCTTTCCCTTTACTCCATTTAAAAAATCAGGTAAGTATTAAAATACCTATTTTTTAATAGGCACACTTCTGTCTATTGTCTTTACTAAAATTTTAAAGTCATGATCTTAAGCAAGACGTATGTATGTGTATGTTGGCATTCCTACCTAAACACATTGTGAATTTACTGACATTTTATTAAAGCTACCCAGTTGAGTCCACTAAGTTCATTTTTCCCAATATGTAGATTTGTAGTACATGATCATGATTAAATTATGTATGTTTATGAGAAATTGGATATTCCCATGAATCTTTTAAAAATCATAAATGTAATTTTTTTGAGATGGGGTCTCACTGTGTTGGCCAACCTGGGGTGCAGTGGTATGATCATAGCTCACTGCAGCCTCCAAACTCTTGATTTCAAATAATCCTCCAGCCTCACCCTTTCAGGTTGCTGGGACTATAGGCATGCATCACCACACCCGGCAAATTTGTTGTTGTTGTTGTTGTTGTTGTTGTTGTAGAGACAGGTCATGCTATGTTGCCCAGGATGATCTCGAACTCCTGGTCTCAAGCAATGCTCCTACCTCAGCCTCCCAAAGTGTTGGGATTAGAGGCATAAGCCACTGTGCCTGCCCCATAAATATACTTCCAAATGCTTTTTCATGTTTTCTAGGATTTTCTAACTTAATGTACTTCTCATTCTAACCAAAATTTTTGAAGACCCTCTGAATATTTACAACTGATGTGTTTTGAGGTAGCACGTGTTATAAAGGGCATTAATGTCTTTTTGTAAGAGGCTTACTGTTTCACTTTCTTAACTCTTTATATTCTAATTTTTTAATAAAATTGAGACCAGTCATACTTTGTGCCTTTACTGACATGGTATGTTATCAGTAGTATTATTACAAGAACCTGTTTGTTGATCCTAGTTCTAGAAAATTCAAATTCAAAAATTTCTTATAATTGGATTCACACATATGCTGGGGCAAACTGCTTTAATATGTAGCCTAATTTTATGATAATAGTTTCTAAATGCAATTCTAAAATTGTATTTGAAAGCAACTTATAGCTTTAATAATAAATTATGATGAATTACAAGTTAAAGTTCTCATAATATTACTATTGTCAAATTTCTGTGCAGTCAAATATATTCTGGACATACATGTACCAGAAATTGTTTTCTACCTAATGAAGATTTGTTATCTTCTCTTTAGACTTATTTATATTTTATACAGATTGAAATTATTTTACATATTTAATATCATGTTTTTACTTACCAAATTGTATACTGTAAAGAAATCTTTTAAATAATATGACATTTAATTTGTATATGCTACATTGAGTGAAAGTAATATACCAGCCTAGCATTTCTTCTTTTATACATCCTTTAAGCCGGACTCAGAAATAAGAACTGAACATTAATTTTACGGGTTTTTTTCTACTCGATAGGTACTATGGATATAGAGGAGAGAAATCGCCAAATGAAAATTAACAAATACAAACAGGTAGCCGGATCAGATCCCAGACTGGAACAAGATTACCATTCGAAGGCAAGACATTTTTCTTTTTAAAAGTTGTAAAATAATCAATCATTTGAAACAGATTTTTTTAAACTACTAAATGCAGATTAGTCAAACACAAGCATATAATGCCATGGCCCCATGATATTACTAAGTGCTAAAATTTATGTGTTTGTATACAGCTCTTAGCAGTAGAATTTGCCTTACTTTAAAAAATTATTATAAAATACAGAAGATTAAACCTCTAATGACAAATCTCTTAGAATTTTTTATTTTGTAAAATCTATAGCCCCTCAAAAACGTTTAAGAAGTAGTTAAATGATCTCATGGGTTTTTTTAATATAGATTTTTTTCCCACTTTAAAGTATTTTAATTGAATCAGGTTTATTACTGAATTATTGGAACAAAATACAAATGTGCCTGGCCTATAATGGATCAACTGACAAGTTTTTGACTTTAGGATAGTGTAAAAGCAATACACATTCAGTAGAAGCCATATATCAAGTACTAATACAACCATTCTGTTTTTCCCTTTCCGTAAAGTATTCAATAAATTACATGAGCTATTCAATACTTTATTATAAAATAGGCTTTCAATTAAATGATTTTGCCCAACTATAGGCAAATGTCTAGTATTCTAAACATGTTTGAGGTAAGCTATACTAAGCTGTGATGTTTGCAAGATGTGTTAAATGCACTTTCAACTTACAATGGATTCAATAGGGCATGACCCCATCATGAAGCAAAGAGCATCTGTACATATTCATGAAGTGCTGCTAAGGGTTCAAAAGTCTTTTAGTATGAATCTTTTTAAACTACTCTTTGGGAATAGTTTGAAGTATGAGATCTACCAAGGGCAGAAATAAAGTTTTTTTTTTTTTTTTCTTGAAACAGAGTCTCCACTTTGTCACCCAGGCTGGAGTGCAATGGTGCAATGTTGGTTGACTGTAACCTCCACCTCCTGGGTTAAACTGATTCTTCTGTTGCAGCCTCCCAAGTACATGGGACCACAGGGGTACACCACCATGCCTGGCTAATTTTTGTATTTTTAGTAGAGACAGGGTTTCACTATGTTGGCCAGGGTGGTCTTGAACTCCTGACCCTGTGATCTGCCCTCCTTGGCCTCCCAAAGTGCTGGGATTACAGGCATAAGCCACTGTGCCCAGTCTATTTCATTGTTCTTGTACTCCATTATCTTTTTTTATTCAACACATTTTTAGTTGCTCGATACTATTCATGGCCAAAGTCATGAAAATACTTTGTTCTGATATAGCTATTGAGGATTTAATAAAAGAATTAAAATAGCAAAATTTATGCATAACTGTAGCTATTATATGCTCTATGACTTAGTAATTAAATCATTATAGTTGTAATATTCATGGTCTTTGTGTAATAGAGAAAAGCAATTTGGATTTTTTAAAACTTAGGCCTGTTTTATCCTTATATACTTAATCTAAGGTTTCTATTACATTACACTCCTTTGTAACATCAAGAACTAGTTAAGTAAAGCATAAGTGGCTATGTTGGGTATACATATGTAGCAGGTACATACATATGTACCAGTTTCTAGCTTCTCCAATAAGACAACATAGAGAAGGCAGAGATTCTTACATCAGTACCTACTCCTAAACTACCAGTCTCTTCCACAAATTACATTATTACCATACAAAATCATTTATCACAAATTCTGATATACTGGAAGTGTCACAGGCCTAAAGCCAGACAAAAGTAAATTTAAGACAAATGAAAATAGCCTTGCACTTTACTTAGTAGGTTCTAAATTTCTGGAAAATTTTCACTAAAATGAAAATATGAATAACTTCAAATGGGTACAGTGAATTTTATAGAAAATAGTTCTATAATGCTATAATATTTTAGATATATTCCTATTTGAGTTAGATATCAGAAATGATATTTGTTTTTTGTTAGTTTGTTTTGTATTTCTTCCTGGAACTAAATAGACACACCTGACCTTTTGTGGTTTTTTTATGCTGTAGTCTCTTATCTGTTCCCCTTATATAATCCAGAGACCAAAGCATAAAGTCCTGATAAGAAAGATATTAAATTTTTTGTAAATATGTCTTCAGATAACACAAACTTGTTTGTTGGTTTATATTTTACTATACTTGAGGAAGGAATGTAGATTATTTATAAAAATACTTATAATATTCTAATTAATATTGTCAATGGAGAAGAAATCAAGAGAAAATAAAGTCAGGATAAAACAAGGTAACTCCAAAAGTAAAGTCTGTGAAGCAAATGAATAGTATAAGATCCTACATATCCACTACATGTGGGCCATGTATGTTAGCCCTGAGCTTTCTAACAAGCAGCAAAGGCAGAAAGGGAAACGATTAGTTTTATGATTTACATTGCTCATACAATAAAGACAAGTTCTTTAGAAGTAGTAGCAGTGATTCTTGTTGTACAAGCCTGACGGAAATTTATTACAGAAGGATGGACCAAAGGAATACTATAAGCAAAGCCAGGATTTCTTTTTTAATTTTGATTTTACCTCGATTCATGAATAAATGAATGTTTAAGGCCTGAAAGTTTTATAACTTTGACAGCAATCATTTTAGGTTAGGAAAAAATAAATATTGATAAAGAGTAATTGTACTAAGCATTATAATTTCCTAGATATTCTCTAAGGGAGTAGATCAGCAGCATCAGCATCACTTGGAGACTTTTAGAAATGCAATTATCTGGAGCCCCTTCAGACCAATGGAATAAAAACTCTGGAATTGGGGTTCCTGTGTTTTAACAAGTCTATCAGATGATTCTGATGTAGACTAGTTTGAGAATTACTGCTCTAAGGTGAAGAACCATTGTAAAATTATCCTTTAGATAACTGAGTTGACTTCCTCAATTGGAGTTTTAGCTAGAAGCCAGAGGTGAATGATGTGATCAAAAAATTGAAAACATTATTTTGAGAATAAATAATCTGACATCTTTATAAGGCCTCTAATAATGTCTGACAAATCCTATCAGTGAATGTAGAACACTTATCACTCTGTTTTCTATTGCCAGAATTATGCAGCCAGCTTACCTCAAAATATAATCAAGTCTCTTAAGTGCAACTTTTTAAGGGGGTCCAAAATACAACCCTGTTTTGTACCACAACAAGGTATTTCTTGATGTGGAACTATCTTTGCTGGATCATCTATCTCCCCATCATCTGAGGTTCATCTCCCTCTGATATGAGTCAAAGAGAAAATTACAGAGGAATCTTCTTCAGACACGTATACAATAAGTTATATTAGTTTTCAATTCCTTAGATTAAAATTTGCACCATCATTTCTCTCTTTTTTGATGAGGTTTATTTAGCTTCTGTTTACATTCTTTACTTTTTATTTTTATAACAAATGCTAATTATAGAGCCTCCTATAGACCTATGTGTTTTAACATTAGATCTAGTTGCTAAAGAAAATCATTTAACAAATAAGGGAACTAAGATATAGAAAGGTTAAGTAAATCTATCCAGGGTCACGTAGCCACTAAGTCATGGAAAGTATTATTTGTGGCTAATTTAGTTTTTCAAATTTGACATAACTATGATGAAATTCAAAGCCTCAGAAATATGAAGCATATGCTCTCTCCTGAGCTGTATTCCTGAAATTCCAGCAGCACTATTCTGAAGCCTTGTGTGGAATCTAATTGTTAGCCTAGGTTTAAAAAAAAAAAAAAAAAAAAAAAAAAAACTCTACAGTTTACATTCTAAATGGCATTGCTCCCTGAATTTCTCAAGACTTCTGAATTGATAGTTTTAAATAATTCATACTAAATTTAAAGAAATCTTCTTAGTAACTCACTTTGAAAGCATCTATAGAGCAATACCTACTAAGTCACTGTCTTTCTAAGAATATTTTAAGTATACTAGAAAACTTGAAAGCAGAGAGTCTGTTTTTAGTAAGAGTAGCAAAGACATATACAGACATGATTCCTAGTTAATAAGCGGATGACTTCTCAGGGAGTTTCCCTCAACATAGTTATTATACTTACGTACTCTTTCATGCCTCTTGTACTCTCTTTAACCCAGCTTGAATATGATTCATCTATTCTTGGCAATAATTTAAGAATCAACATATTTTTTCTATAAAATCAATTTTCTTTCCTTTTTATTTGCTCAGAAAAATGTGATTTATTACGTTTCACAGCGCAAATTATGGTTCACCATAGGTCAACTACCCTTCTGTGAGTTATATAAATGATAAACTGGCATAATCATCAGTAATTAAAAGTCAAACAATGTATTTATACATGGAAATTAATATGGATGATTTGATAATGTTTATCAAACATATGAGCTTTAGTTTTAAAATCACTATATTTAATATTTTTAAATATTCCCCAAAACAATATTGCTCTGAAGATATTCTTTGAAAGAGTGACCCCATAACATTTCAACAAATATTGCTCATTCAACAAATAATGTTTATTGGCACAGTATTTATTGGAACTCAAAGCTTATTTTTCTGGAAAAACGATGCTCTTTTTTAAGGAGTATGTTGTGGTAATGCTTCTATAAAATTGTGACAAAAATGTCTTATTCCTGTTAAAGCAGTTATATCATAATTTTCCATTCTCTTATTTGTCTTCCTGGAATTAAGAAGCAGTATAATCTATGAGTTGCCCAGATCTCTTCAAATGGAGGCCAGAAGCCTGTGATAATCTATCTAACCCATAATATAATACACTGGGTTAGAACAGAGGACAAAGTAGTAAAAGAAAGGAGAAGAAAGTTTGTCTCCATTTATTGTGCATGCCTGACCCTAGGCACTTCTCACCTACATTCTGTCACTTTTTTCCCCAGGCTTTTAGTCCTTTAGGCACTCATTCACAGATCTCGAAGAGGTATTGGCGAAAAGCAATTTGATTAAACTAGCTTACATTAAAATATGAATAACAACACAAGGCTTCATTTTTTAAAAAGCCCTTATGAACACAAAATAAACTGAAATTGGTGGACTTATAGGCAATATTAATAGAAAATATTTCAGATAGTTAAAGTATGTCTGGCAAGTAAAATG